GTTGGGGGTCCATGATGGAGTCTTCGGGTTCATTGTGATACGTGAGGTGTTCAGGGAATATAGACCTTCTACTTCCTGCTAAACGTTAGGTTGAATACAAATAAAAATTATGGATAACTTCGCTATCGGGTGCAGTGCATACTAAGCATAACGTGGAAAGTTGAATATTGTTCTAAGATGTTTGCAATTCGTATAATGGTGTAGTATGTTTGACCCTAAGTTCTTATTTGTGTAATCTTAATGTCGATTCTCTGATTTTAAGGAATTAAGACACTTTGGCCCCAACTGGAATGTCTCAAATGCTGCAGTGATAAAATAAATTTTCTTTCGATATCTTTGCAATGGATAATAATGACACAAAAAAATTCTCACTGCTACAAAATACCAATTTATACAACGATACGTTACAGAGTCCTAAAGAAAAGTGGCTTTGGATGCGAAAATATGACCATTTAAGTGGGTTATTTCTGAATCACTCGGCACAAAGCGTGAATAAATTATTTTAAAAAAGGAAAAGAAAAAAAGAACAAATCATAACCAAAAATAACTTGTGAAACGATGACATTAATAAAAATAATTCCACTGAAAAACAATAAAAGACTTCCTGTCTTTCCCATTCATCTATTAACACTTAGTATTTCATGTTGATGTTACTAAGGTATCCGATTTACATGAAACCGGGAGTCTTCCGGCAAATATTGAAAAGTAAATGTTTGGTTCATATGATTGAACCTTTTTCTTTTCTATTTTATTAAATTTTGTTTTCTATTAGACTAGAGTCATAGTTACTATTCAGTCACAAGGAAAGCTGTTAATTTTCATGGCTTTCTTACCAGAATGTTCGTCCTAAAATTTTGAGTGAACCATCATGAATTATTGTGGCGGTCTCACTATCACCCTCTCTGATGGTCTATTCACCACACAACCCCATGCATGCTGCTACAGAAAAATATCCTACAACGATTTGGGTGTTGCCACCCTTAACCTGATAAAATATAATTTTTCCGAAAGACTTGTAAGTTCCTCTGCAGAATGGACCACTAGACAAGGTACGAATTTCAGCATTCTGATACATGTTTCTTAATCCAAATGTTACGTAAAACACGATGCTTACAACGAAAATTACCGAAATTAACTCCTTACGAAGATATTTAATGATTCTTAATGCGTGAATTCAAACCACCCGCTCATGAAAACTCAATGCCCTACGTGATTCACATCGCGCGCTAAACGTTATCATGACAGTCTCTGCGATATAAAAATCTGGCAACCTCAATCTTGACGCTTTGGCTCAGTTATAGCAAATTGCTAATAGTTTGAACGACACATGATGGGAAATGAACATTGCTCGATTGAGAAGCTTGCTGAAACCGTTGTAGTGGGCGATTTGACTCACGTAGAGTTTTGAGTTTCTTGTGAGCGGGCAGTTCAAATTCCTCGTAACCAATGTGAAATAAAAACGTGAATATCTTCGTTAGGAGTTGGTGTGAAGTAATTTTCTTTGTGCGAATCATGCTCTACGTGAAATTCTGACCAAGGAACATGTATCAGAATGCTTAAATTCGTACCTTGTCTAGTGGTCCATTACTCCATATTTTTAAAGGAGCTGGTGTTCACAAGAGGCACGGACGCGTGAATAGAATGTTAAGGGTAAAATGGCACGGAAATCAGGCGTCTGGTGCAGAAAAGGCATTTCTTAATTGCGGTTTTTCAGAATCTCCAACGCTAATTTTTATGTTAGAGAGGAAACTATTGGGTGAATTTCCAGTAATCAGTAAAAGTTACGACGGATACATACATTTGCTTTGATTATAATGGATGAATCGCTAGCGGAGATTTAGAGACACTGTAACCAAGAAATGCTCTCTCTGCACCCAGCGCTTCTATTACGAGGGTCATATTAGAAAAACTCTAAAATCCACACAGAAAATGTGTCATTCAATAATAATGTTTCTAGTTTCACTAAGCTCTTCCGAATTTTTCTTGTGCAGTTTTGTTATTAGGCAAAACGTTAGTACGGATCTGGGAGTTTCCTTGGAAATCTTAAAACCACTTAGTGCGACACACCAAAAATTTTTTTTAGATTTAGGTAGAACTTTTCCGGCTGAAAGTCGACAACGTTCGGGCGCCGATACGGCGTTTTTCCGCAGCACTTTGCTCGGGCCCTGACGTCCAGGACAGGAAACATAAATCCGAAGCTTGGGAATTTGGGCTCGGAGGGCGACTGCGACTGGGACTGCACGAGCCGGAATAACTCACCGATGTTTTCGACGCCGAGCGCGTTGGCTTTTGAGTCCTTGGACTTGTCGTCCCGGTTGCAGACGTCTCCCGTGTTCTTCCACCACTTGTCGTACATTATTTGAATCGTCCCCTTTTCCTGCAGCTCCAGGATGGCCAGCGATATTTTATCCCGCCACGGCGAACCTGCCAACCAGAAACACACCCATTGCTCACTATTTATTCGAATCGCTCCACGCTGAGAAACAACATCTCTCTTATCTGAAGAGTCTTGAAATGTAAGCATCCTTATTCAGCTTAAGATTCAACGGATAAAAGACGGGTTCGGTTTTTAATATCCACCGATTCATTTGTATTGGCCTTGGGACTGCTCCTACGAGGGTAAGAGAGCGTTCATGAATGGAGATGGTGCATGTGTGAGGAATTTGCGATTTGACTATATTGATTCTTTTGTAAAAGTTCGCGAGAAACACGATGATGCCACTGGTTTTCTCTGAAATCAACTCCCAAGCTCAAAAAAAGCTCTCAAGTTGAGGCCATAAATGGAGGGGATATCCCATTATCCCATGCTGTCCTGAGAGTCCACCTCTACATCAAGACCAACTCTCCATGCAAAGATAGGGAGCAAATACATTGACAGGGCTGCCACTTTATTTGGGGACTCCAAAACTGAAAACACGGCAACCCTGTCAATGTATTTGCTCCCTATCTTTGCATGGAGAGTTTGTCTTGATGTAGACGTGGACTCGCAGGATAGCGTGGGATATCCCCTCCATTTTGGCCTCAACTTAAGAGCTTTTTTTGAGCTTGGGAGTTAATATCAGAGAAAACCAGTGCCACCATCGTGTTTTTAGCGAACTTTTACGTAAGAATCCATTGTCAAATCGCAAATTCCTCACATATGCAACATCTCTATTGCTAAAAAAGTAGGCGATCTAGATTTTAGTTGATATTTTGAAATCAAAATCACAACACTCTATCTATTTTCGGCGTGAAATTATCCTGGGTTCAATTTGAATGCACTGATGTAGGATGTTTATACATCCGTCACTCCTTGATGCAGGGACCCATTCCATCTATATACTTAAAAGCAACCCTATTTGTATAATTAGGAATACAGGAACAGTATGACCAACCTTTGGGAGTGGCGATTCCGTATCCCTTTGAATCGAGCAATCCTCCAATCTGCGTCAAATTACAGTCCCTTTGAACTGCGTAATCCAGCATCGTCGACTCCATGAGGAACGCATAGTTCCCTCCAAGGACGCGAACCACCCCTTCTTCATACGAGTCGACGAAAACTGACGGTTTTTTACTCTCCATAAACCTCCACATTTTTTGATAAATTCCTATTTTAGAGTCCTGAAACATACAATGAGAACGAAACCAGGACCATTAGCACGTCTTTATCCTCCATGTGGGCGTATTTCTATCAAACGGAACTATATGTGCGTTAGGACATGAGCCCTGAGACCCATAAGAATTCATGCATACCAGGGCTCACATCATAATGCACATGGTTCCGTTGGACAGAAATGCGTCCATTTAGACAAAGTTTAACAGGAAAGTGCCAAGTCGCACACTGTAAGGAGAGTATGAAGATGTCATAGTATGGTGTTCTAAGGGCTCAAAATGACAGTCAACCTTTTTTCATAAAAAACGTTAGAAATATGTCATCGCCATTTCAGATTCTAGTGTCAAACCTAGATGGTCAAGAATGTTCATAAATGAGCGTCCTTCAGAAAAATTAGTAGATTTGGACACATATATGCTGAAAGGAACTATGTGCATAGGATTTGCATGCAACAGCGTTCCTTTTAGCATATATAAAGACGTCCATTCATGCAAAAACAAAGTCGAACACGTGCTTTATTACAAACGACGACGGCTCGTAACAATATGTATATCATTCTAGAGCATTTTAGTTCATAGGTTGGCTCCCTTTTTTGCCTTAAGAGTTCCATAACCTAACCCCTGTGAAATTACGGCCATGTCTATACTCTCCCTATACAGGTATTCTAGTTGCACCTGATCTGAACCGTGAAAAAGAGGTTTGAAATGGTATTCCTTCATTAGACTCAATATTAAGTACAAAGTTCAGCGACTGCTTTCAACCTCAAAATATTTTTCTGAACTTTGGATTTGTGACTGAAGAAAATTTACGCCTGTTAAATCCGAAATTACTCCCAATTCATTTTTTCCCAAAATAGGACACTGTGTGATTTGTTTAAACTCGGTCCATTTAATGTGCGAAAGAAACTAGCTGGAATGATTATCCATATTCCGAGCATTTTATGTCACTTGGCATAACTTGGATGAGGAGGAGACAAAGTGAGACGAAAGAAACAAATACTTAAGAGAGAAAAGAGTAAAACTTTTGCATGAGAAATAGGTAGTCCTAACGAGCTCGGGAGAGTGCAAACAGTCGGACAGAGGACCGGCTGCATTTCAACCGGACGCAGCAGCATGAATAAATCTTGTCTCATCCAACAAAGGATAATTTGAAACTTTCTGAGAATGATTAGATTTATACTTAGACAGCATCTTTCCTTTATAAAAACAATTGTGTTACGTCTGCCCTCTAAAATATGAGAGAATAATCCAAACAAACGAATAGCTTTCAATAAATCGTCGAAATGATTTGCAAAAAAGAATCGGGAAACATAACTTGAAGCGGTTCTCTATTCAAATGAGCTGATTTTGAGTAATTTTTTATTTCAATATTTTGAGGTTAACTTGTATTTGCTGTGCTTAATGAGCCAAAATTATAATTCTGTCTCTGATATATTTCCTTTGAAATTGATGCGTTAAGTGCAGTGGCGATGCCCGGATGATCGACTATCGATATTGCCCCCATTTGAAGCTATGGTAAAGAATCGATTACTAAAGTGTTCATTGCGAACACCCTGTTATCGATATTTTTCCATAGGTTTAAATTGGAGATCAATCGATATATCGCAGAAAACGCCACGCCACTGATTGGGTGCAGAAGGGGCATTTTTCAGTTGCGGTGTTTCAGAATCTCCAGTGGTAATTGGACGTATTTCTGTCAAACGGAACTATGTGCATCAAGACAGGAGCCCTGAGACCCATAAGAATATATGCGTGACAGGGCTCACGTCATAATGCACATAGTTTCATAGAAATACGTTCAATTTATCCTTCAGTGAGGAAACTATTGGGTAAATTCTCTGATGTTTTAGATTTTCTGCATTGTAAAATCATAAAGAATCTTCAGTAAAAGTCACAACGAATTACATACATTTGCTTTAATCATAACGGATGAAATGTTAACGGAGATTCTAGATTTTCTGCATTGTAAAATCATGAAGAATCCTCTGGAAATTACGACGAATTACATACATTTGCTTATAATCATAACGGATGAAATGTTAATTGAGGCTTTGAGACCGCAGTTAAGAAATGCCCTTTTTGCAGCCAACGCTTCAATTTTAGTGTATAATAAAGCGTCTTTGTTAGAAATTTTGAACAGTTGAAATTGGTTCATAGATGTTAATCCATGTTCAAAAATCACAAAATCTCGGGGTAGGTATCGTTGCCAACTAATTTGACACAAAATTATACAGAAAACTATGATACAGTCTCTCTGTGCCATTATCCATTGTTTCAGAACACAACAGGTGTTCAGTTCCATCGAAAACTATGTATTTATCCTGAAACTCCATGGCAATTAAACGAAACTGATCGATACCACTATTCGATCACTAAAGTACACATGTTGCCTATCAAATCAATTGAAGGAATTGGTTGTTGTGGCATTTAATGGAACAGCGGAGGGTCTATCTATCAGGAACAGATGCTGGTGTTACTGATTTAAATGGGGCCGATCGATACCACTATTCGAACACCGTGGTACGCTTATTGCCTATCCAATTAATTGAAGGATTTTGTTTTCGCGGCATTTATTGGAACAGCTGAGGGTTCATTTATTCGAAACAGCTCTCCATGATTTGCGTGATCGACGTTTTTCAAACGTCCCAAAAGGCCATAAACTGATGTGCTGCCTTGGTTACTGCCTTATTATTTTGTATGGTATCTGATACAAAAATTGCCAGTGGTGTTAATCTGAAAACTCACCCTGAAAAAAGTCATTGTAGATCCACCGGCCAGGGTGCCGTAGGAGATTTCAGTTTGCTCGGAGAGATCGGCCGCATTTTCTATTGGCGTGATCATCCTCTCGACGGTGAGAAAGGCAGCTAAATTTGCAGTGTAGGAAGATATTATGATAAGCGTGAAAAACCACCAGATAGCACCAACGATCCTCGTTGAAGTGGCCTGTTGACAGAATCAAACTATTAGGTTTCGTATAAAGGTTGCGATGCATTTAACACTTGTACGATTCTTTGAGCCTTTATTGGCTATAGAAGAAATAATGATCCAACTATGTCTGTTTTAAGGTCAATTAAATTTTGATTATGTTTTATCCGCTTTTATCATTATGCATGCATATTATTTTATACTGAATGAATATGTTAAAATAGAACTAGGTTTTTGAAATTTTGAAAATGTCCAATTTGAAGCGTCTAAGTGCAAATTCTACATACACATCTACATACATGCTACTGATTAAATAGCAAACAAAACTACTTTTAAGCAATACAGTTAAGCAGTTAATAATTCAGCATGCTCAAATCATCAGAAAGATACTCGATGAAAAGGTCACTTCTGAGAATGTGTAAACTCATGGAAGTATTAATTGGTGAAACTTGAAGAACACATGTACCGATTGTCGCGTTTCAAAATGTCTGCTTGTATTCTGAGTAATATAACATTTTAAAAAAATAAAAATAACACTCAATAATCTTGCAATTATTGTGTCATTGATTCGTCGCGTGTAGTATACTCTCCCAGTAACGTTTAAGAGAAATATTAATTGGATGTAGCTTAATTTTTAAAGGTCTTAATATGACCATAGACAATTTGATTAGCATTATTGAAGGTTTTGAGACAATTATTTATGGAGAGAAAAAATTAACAAAAATTCTTTCAAGGTTCAGAAAAAAACCAATTTAAAATTAAATTTTACCACGCACGATGACATATCGGTCTGATTCTATCAAAATAAAGCAAATAAATTCCTTTGAGGAAATGTTTAAATTTCTATAGGCCAAGCCAGTCAATCTTAATAATTTGATGTACATTCCATTTATAACACCAGTAGAAATCAAAACCAGAGAAGAACCATATCTAAGGGGACACCCACCAAAAGAGCAAAAGTCGGTCTAAATAGTCAAAAACCATTTGTCATCATGAATCAAAAATACAAGAGGATGCAAGTCGCTAGTAAACTAACGACAATACAACGTTGGAGAGCAAAAAACGGGCGAGAGTCAAGGAGGACAGACAAATACCCTGCAAGAAAGATAAAATAAGGTTACAGCTACCAAACTCTCAGTTCAGACGCAGCGAGTAAAGTAGTTTGTCAGATGAAAAGCGAAACGTGATAGGGCACGCAGCGGTTTCTCGTGAAGTGCATTTCACCCCAATGATAGGATCCCCTTAGTATTCGGTATTGAAATACGCTTTAGATGAAATCTCTGAAACCCGTCTCTTTCCGTTCTTAGCGCATTGATTCGGATATCTCAGCGGTCGAGACACGCCTTCGGAAGGTCTTCGAAATCGAGAACTTTCAACGGAGACCTTTGGAAATCTTGCGAAGAGAGCGTGTTCGAAATGAATGAGTGTGTGGACGATACGGATTATCGAGGATATTGTGCACGATATAAAAAACAAGCAGTTGGTTAGGTATAGACTTGTCTGAAGGATTTTTATTGAGCTCGCCCACTCGGGAGAGCTCTTTGCGATCGATTTCTTTTAGCATTGGTAGTGTCCGTGGCGACGAATGGATGGTTCTCGTTGCCGTCGGAGGAACGGCCAAAATCCCATTGATTTCAAGGTCTAAAAGTTGAATTTTCGCGGGTTACAGTTTTCCTCCGTCGAACATTTCCGTTCCCTCATTCAACTGAGGATTAATTGTTCCTCGTTTGCTACACTAGAGAGCAGCACTTTCCAGTGGCCGAGCATATCATAGCATGTTGCTATGGTTTTATATCAAATAACCTAATTGTATGTTATCATCCTCTTATCTTTTCAATGCAGTTTTTGTGTGCAGTTGTACTTGCAATTGTTATTATTTCTTAAAATAAAAAACATGGTGACCTCGACGTGATTTAATAATTTGTTCAATTAATTTTAAGTTACTAAGACTAAGATTGAGATTTGCGCATAATTAATGGATAAACCTTAAGATTGCCGTTATTGGTACCATAGAAGGTTAATTAACCTCAAAATAATTGCATGCTTGAGAGCTCGGTTGAGACTCGCATTGGGATCCTTTCAGAGTTTGTTTAAACCTTTTATTAAGAATGCTTTAGGATTCGTTTGAGCCCCTCGCATTAAGAATGCTTGGGAATTCGTTTGAGCCTCGCATTTAGAATGCTTGAGAATTCGTTTGAGCCTCGCATTGAGTTTCTTTAGAGTTCGTTTTAACCTTAAAATACAGATGCATGAAGTGCTCTTTCGAGCTCCGTGCTATTTATAGTGCGCGAGGTGCTCCATTGAGCCACCCCATACCTACAAAGGCGTGATGTGCTCCATTGAGCCACTCGCATACAAAGGCTTGAAGTGGTCTCTCGAGCTCCACGCTAAAATTCAAGTGAATTCCTTATTAGCTCTTAGTGTATACCATAAGTATTGTGTAAGAATTATGGCAGAAACGTTCCTCCAAACCGTGCTAAATTATAGTTTCTTTGAACTCTGTGCCGATAAAAATTCAGAATTCCAGACTGCCAGCTTAACAAAGTATAACCTTAATTCAAGTTGGCGACTTGATTTAAAAAAAAAGCTGAAAGCCAGAAACAAAAATGCGATGGCAAAAATAGCCATTGCAACATTTGCCGCAAAATCACATTCATAAAAGATAATTCCATTTCTCTCTCTTTATTTCTCTTTATTTATTGTAATGTGAAAAATTTGTCATATGAAATTACGTCATAACATTTTGCATCGGCATGTAACCTCTGATAATTGGGTAAAGATTCATTTAATACATATACAATTTCAGAAAAAATCATTAATAGTTGTTAATAGTTTCCCAAAGGCGAGCTCTCCAACACAGTAGTGTTGGAACCAGCAGCTTGTTTTTTATTTGTTTGTTATTTTTCATTTCAAATATCCATCAGGGGATAATCGGATAATCTCACTCTTGCAGTCCCTAAAGTCCCACCCTCTCAGCCCCTGACCAATCCAGCTCCAGGTAACCGTTGTTCAAGACCATCCAACTCAGGTCACTTGGCCGGGAATCGAATCTGGAACCCCCATAGAGCAAGCACTACAACCACTACACCACAGGAAGCCGACGGTCGGTTGCCCATACAAGTGTTCAAACGGGTTCCTTCCGATAGAAAGTGACGAGAACGTCCTGTAAAAGGTTAGTGGTTTAATTGAACACCCGAGGGTTCATCCACCAGAAACAGAGCAATGTTATTGATTCAAATTAAACCGATTGATACGATCATTTGATCAACGAAGTACGCTTATTGTCTATCCGATTGATTGAAGGATTTCGTTTTTGCGGCATTTAATGGAATATCGAAGGATTTATCTATTCGAAACAGTGCGCCATGATTAGAAGAGTGGAAGCATAGATCACACGGTGTCATTTATCGCATGATGGTAGGTTTTATTGGAGGTTAGTATAGCCATAGAGTCCTGACTCAGCAGGTGGAATAAATACAAATCCCGGCAATGAATGATGAAAGTGACGTCTAGGGGGCCTACCTTGGGGTTCAAATCGGATCCCTGCTGCATGAGCGACCCGATAGCGAACCAGAAACTATTGGCGAGCGTGAAGTCGTTCTCGATGACCATGAGGGTGCCGAGGTGGGCGGCATAGGGGTCGTGCTCCTCGTCCGAGTCGTCCTCGTAATGGTAATGGTCGACGAACTGGTCGTAGTCCTCGTCGGAGTGGTCGGAGAGGAGCCCGTGGTCGTGGGCGTGGAGCCCGCGGAAGGCGACGAGGGCCGACTCGTGGACGGGGAGGCCGTGGCGGCAGGTCTGGAGCGGGGGCGGGGCCTGGTTGCAGAGCTGGCAGTCGCTCGAGCAGGGCTGCGGCGGGCACCACTCGTACGGGGAGAAGCGCGCTACGATCCAGATGGTCAAGGAGACCAGGACGTAGGCGCCGACCATGTAGAACCATATCTCGACCGCGAGCGGGTTCATGAACGAGAACAACCGGCTCGGCGCCGGCTCCGTCACCTACAACACATCCAATCACAGGGCGTCAGTCCCATAGAGTACAATACTACCGTGCTAAGAAAGAACTCCGTATGAACATTCGAGAGTTGCCAGATTTCCTTTTCGCCACGGAGAAAAAAACTTCGTTCATGGGACCCGAAGTTGAGGTCATATGGATCTCTGAAGTTTTCGGATCATACATCCAAAAACTTGAGGTCCAACTGCCGAAGTTCGGGTCAGACATCTGAAGTACTTAGGTATGTACCGGATACTTCAGATGTCTGACCCGAACTTCGGCAGCTGGACCTCAAGTTTTCGGATGTGTGATCCGAAAACTTCAGAGATCCATATGACCTCAACTTCGGGTCTCGTGCACGAAGTTTTTTTCTCCGTGGGTAAAATGTTAATTTTTGGCGTTTATGAATATTTTTCCTTGAAATTTTCAGGAACTTTAGATGAAATGGACTTATTTCTGTTAAACGGAACTAAGCGCCGAATTGAGTTCCTTTTGAGGATTTTAGAATCCCGGGTAGCGTGCTCTGTCAAACGGAACTAAACGCCATGGAAAAGCATCCCGAGTATTGGAAGGAACGAGCACCGCGTTCTGCAAAATCTGCCAATCCAAGCCGTTCTCTCCCTTCCTCCCCCGATGGCGCTTAGTTCCGTTCGATAGACATATGTCCAAATTTCGAACAAAATTATCTGAAAAATTAGAAGAAAAATATTCATGAGTTTACCGGTAAATTCTTGTTTTACAAATGAAAATTCGGCAAAGCCTGAAGGTTCATACGGCATTTTTCCTTAGCACGGCAGAATAGAGGCGCAATCTGCTGGAGCGCCGATGAAGTCACTTTTTGAGGCTGTTTTGTCCTTTGTTCAGTGCTCTTGAGACTAGCGTGCGGCGACTGGCGATGCTGTATGCGCGGGGTTCCAACTCTGGGCTTTGCTTAGAAAATATAGGTATAAAATTTACTTCATAAAAAACGGGAGTTTCGTATATTTTGGGCGTTCCCGGCGACCAGATGCGCCCTTTCCAGTCG